AATCTTTGCGATACGGAGACCATGACGAGTACACTGCTGCAGGTTGCGATAATGTATGACGTAACGCTGTTTATCGCATAATGTTGCGAGGAGTTTGTCATCGCGCTTGCCGTGTGGTTTCTCTCGCGTCGGACAGAACGGTAGGTCAGTGTGCGCGTCATGAAGATGTTGCGGCTCCAAATCCACCTCGAGAATATAGCCTGTCTGCGAATCTAACGCGATGGTCGTAAAATCAAAATTGTGCACGTCGTCGACCCATCGAAAATCGGCGTAGGGCAATGGTTGACACATTGCCCAGCCATACAGGTTGTTGACGTCATAGTACATCAAGTACGATGACGGTTTCGATGGATCGTACGACGGTAATGTAATTGTTGTTGGCTCGCGCGTACCTGTTTGTACACTGGCTCAGACCACCGCGTATACCGCGCTCGACAAACATGACCATGTCGATGTCTGTCAACAGTTCAAATTTTACACCAGTATGTTTTAACATGGCATCCCATGTGAAGCCAGGTAAGGTGTAATAATACGCGGGGTCTAGCCTGTAACTCGCGATGCAACTGTCGCGGAAATTTTTGAAGACGTCGGCCAACAACAATACGTCTGTTTTTAGATACAGGTCGCTATATTCACCGAACGTTTGGATGTAGAACCGCTGCCACACGTTGACGGCGTGCGCGTAATCACTCTTAGATACCGTGCTGTCACTCAATGAGCTACAAAATGACTAGCGAGATGGCAAGCGTAATTCGTTCAATTTTTCGCTGCAGTCAATGTACTCGTACGGAAAAACGCCCTTTCGAGTCAAAAGATTAAAATTTTCTTCGGATAAATGGGAAAATTCGCGTCGCAGTACCCGCAGCTTATCATTGTTGAGAAAAGATGACAATTTGTCCAAACTTGAAGCGAGAAATCTATATGAATCTATGAAACGTAATTGCACACAATTTTTTAAATCAATTTTTGTACTATCGACATATTTAGTAAAAGATATATATTTTTCTTTAATTATTGGAAGCAGATCTACGCGTCCTTCATACGCGGTTGCAATTTCCTTGATAATAAAATGAGCGTCGTAACCGGATAAGTTATAAAAGACTACGGATATGCAACGCGAATCTCTGTAATTTAGATTGCAATTTGAGTGCGCGGGGCCTCTGTATCGCCCGGTGAGATGGCAGTGATCGCGTACCCGCGTATCGTCTGGTGTAAACGGTTTCTCGCACACGTGACAGTGCGAGACGCTGTTAAATTTTTCTCAGTCGTCGCGCGTGAAATCTGCCATGGGAACAATGGCTGAAATTACAGACTGTACACTACGCTCTAACTGTCTAAGTTCTTCCGCGAACCACACTATACAGTCTTTGTCGCGGCGGAAACGATAGCC